GCATGCTTCAGTCTCGATTATGGAAATCCTCCCAGCTTCTGTGAAACTGATTGTTTGTATTTTTCCTAGGCAGGAGATGGACTACCCGTTGGATCACCACTTTCTCGACCCTTCCAAGTCCACGTTGCTGCTGGTCGCCTACACAGTGCTCCCCTTGAAGCGGATCCGGCTTCGACGTCTACTGCACCACAGACGGTCGGTCTGGCGAATGACATACTGCGGGATCGCATCCGTGCCAGCTTCTGGCAGAGCTACTCAAAACGCATCGCGTGAGCTCAAAGATTTGCATATTTATACAGGTCTTTCTCGGTTGTGAACCCCTTTGGGAAAATTTCAGGGTATTTACCATTATCGGACCCACAACACTGGACCATTTTAAATGGCCATATGTACAGTGGTTAAACTAGAGACATAAAAAGTTTTAATCACCTCCGAACGGCCTTTTCTCACTCCGCTCACCGATGGGCACTTTTATGCTTAAATGATAAAAAGTAGTTAGCTGGTCAATTGAACTTGCGTGTCCCTCTTTGCTTACTCCTGCTTATTAATGACACCGTTAATTGGAGACAAACCCGCACATCTTTCAAGAAAATGAATTCCCTGCCTTTACTGCTAGATTAAACAGTACTGTGTCAAACTGAATGAGCGCTCTCTAAACCTTAGCAAAAATACATTGCTTTAGCGGGTAAATGTAAAGGCGACACTTGCACCTATTTAGTGCCTGTCCACATTTCAGGTCGCTGCTCCGGTAACATTTATCTTCTTTTTTTTTCAGGTCGCAGATATGCATCTTCTTGCCAAGAAATCTTCTTCCAGAGCGGCTACAAACGTAAGTCATCTTCTCAAACCCACTGAAGCCGTCATTTTATACATAAATCCTCATTAACGAGCACGCATCACACCTACTATTTTCTCTACAACCAAGGCTAGTTTTCTACAAAAACTACTACTGATAATAATAATACCACTACCGCCGGTACTACTACTACTACTACTTCTACTACTACTACTACTAC